CTCCTCCCCCTACCCCCCCCCACCCCTCGTTTCCTCGCAATCATCAATATACAATGCAATTTTGTACATATTTAATAGTTTAGCTCTTCCTACAACCCAAAATCCCACCCAGATGAGGTGAACAAAAAAAACACGTTCGTGTTTTCATGGTGAAAAATTCTTCCCGTTCAAGACGAACAAGGCGGAGTATATCGTAATTTCCATTATTTAAGGTATACAAGTTAAGGGGGGTGAACGTCATTTTAAGTAATAATGTAAATAAAATAAAAGATATTAATTTAGGCAGTGAAGGCTATTAAATGATTTTGGGTAATAAAATTTTCTCCTCAATATCTCCAGCTATCTTACATTTCAATGACAAATCAACAATAATGATTCAGACAATCCGGCAGGTTTAATGTCTGATCGCATTGCTATTAAAGCTGTTTCTTCCATAACACGGGTGCAACTGTTTGCTAAGCATTAACCAATTACTTAATGGAGCTTACAGTTACTCCGCTAAAGTTGAAAAGCTATTACCTGGTGCCTAAAATTGAGCTCCACATTTTTTAAGATTTTATTTCTGTGAAAGGCGTTCTTGGTAGGTTAAAGAAAAAATGAAAGGCTAACAACCTTAGGAATGTTGGATAAACACCTTCAGCATACAAAGTGACCCATCTTCAATTTTCACAAGGTCATCTCCTCATTTCAACCTGGTACTTCAGTGGAGTCTATTTGAGTGATCTGGAGCAAACTAGATCGGTTATAGTTTCAGATGAATGAAAAAGGGATTCTTGGATCCATTCTTGCTTTAATAAAACAATATTTCACGAGATGGATTTATGAGAATTTTGAGACCACAGTAATCAGTTGGATGTCAAAATCAATCAACAAACAACGCCGACAGATCTCATTCTACCTAATTTTGGTACTTAATAAATTGATACCACTTTTATCGTCAGAAATTTCCTGTCAACAATAAGCATGCTCTTTTCTCCCAACGCTACCTAAATTTATTCAGTAGCACTCTCATAGAACATTAAATTATAACCCAATTTTGCCTTATATTCGAGTGAAACCACAATAGGACCAATCCTTTAAAACCTCTATGCTCAATTACTTCAAATGCAATTTAATGCATGGATGGCTGATATTCTACCTATTTAATGCGAGTCTTCTTGAAAGCGTAACACTTTCCCTACAGTTGATACACATGTAAGCCTTGACTACACCTGAGCGAGTATTTTTATTGCAAACTCCCTCAGTGTGAAATCGATTTCGAAATTGACAACTCTGCCCAAACCCTATCGAGGAACCAAAGCATAAGACCTGGAATGTGTTTATTTGGGGCTTGATATCGCTGGTAAGAGGCTCGGCCATTAAATACCCTTCTAGCTACGCTGTTTATGCAACGCTGATTGGCTGAGGAGTCTCTACGTTCCTGACCTCTTCCACTCATTCCAAATTGTTCGGGTGCGCATGAGATTCCCTGGTTCAGCTCCCTCCCCCCAAACACACACACACACACACACACGTATACATACAAAGAGAAGTTAAAATTCTAATTTTATGGACTCAACTTGTATATATATTTCAAAGTACTTCTCTTTATCATTTTTATGAAGCTAATTGCCCTCTGTATTAAATAACAGATTATTGATAATTTGATCCCACCCACCTGTTTTAGGCTTGGAACCGTTAGGAATGGGATGTACCTAAGATCGTATGCGACGGTTTCGTTTTGGAACCACGAGTCCCTTTGACACCTAGAACGTTTGAAAAAGCTGTTTACTTAGAGAGTTTCCTAGTTCAAGATGCATGCACACCAGTGGAATAAAGTTGAATGACTTTGAGACGAGTCAAGATTTGCTTTAGGTCAAGTCATGTCACTTCGAGTTAGCTCCAAACTAATCAACTTCGACCAAACCCCCACCCACTCACCCAGGACCTCCGTGAAAATAGGTTAGCCATAAATTGAAGAAATAATTACTAAAATCACGCCATTCCTTTGCTCTGTTTGTCTTAAAAGATCTGCAAATTACTCAGTTACTATTACTAACACATGGCAATCCTATTTTATGACGAATTCACTATCTTTCTCTACACCCGACATAAGTTAATCACGAACGATTTCGAGTACATGTTCGATCTTGGCAATATTCATCGTTCTTTCAGTAATTGGTCAACAGCTCTTGATTCGGCCCCTATAAAATCCGATGAGCTGCGTTCTTGCGCCGACTCTAATAGCCATGATTTAATCACAATCAACACAAGAATTCTAATTCAACCCTCAGAATAAAACGACGTTGTGCGTGCTTGTAGCCAAATTCCTTGAGATTTGAGCAGGTGTTCCCAAGCTCGCAATAACCATTCCATTTGTAATGCTTTAATTTCTTTAAATGCCAGTGTTTTAGAGAGTACTTCTTGCAGTCTCGATTTTGTCTTTGGCTAAGTTGATAACATTCTGGTGTCTAGTGAAACTGAGGGTGAACTAAGGAAACAAATGAATTTCTATGGATCATTACATTTGGTGCTCTTTCTATTATAACTGCAAATTGCATTTCACAATCGGATCAATCGACTCTACATGACTGCACATCACACAAAATTCCAGCATTTTCATCGTCTTCCATAGACAGCTCTTACTGTGCATTACTCAACTGGGCAACAGATAGTTATCCTTCCCTTGAGTCTCCGTGACATTCCAATACAAAATGGTCTTCGGAACCCCCCCCCCCCTTTAAACTCCCAGGCCTCTTTCTAGCCCTTCTAACTGCCACCAAATACGTTGAACGTCTAAGTTCTCGGATGAAATACCTGCAAGCTGACCAATCCACCCCACATAGGTTCCATTTTGTTTCCTGATCTTTTCCAGCTTTAAGATGCTGTCCATGGGCCACTTCATCTTATTTATGATGAGCCATTTCAGGTCCATCAGGGGTGCGAAAAGACATTCATCACCCTTCGAAATAGCAAGAAAACTGCTGTTCCCGTCAAACATATGAAATCGGCTTACTTCTTCAATCTTGGTTCCAAAAAACTCGACCTCAGTGATTCATCCAGTCAATGAATACAAAAGCTGCAATTAACTTCCCACGCTGAAAGGCATATAAATTTCACTGATATTTGCCCTGCTTCAACCCGGTTATCCACCATATACTGTCTCTTAAACCCCACCCAACTTCACTTCATGACCTCAAACAACCTTTCACCTTCTCTATATAACCTATTTTCCACCTATTTTCATTACTCTTCTTTCAGACATTTACACCGAAGAAATAGAGACAGGATCAATTCAAAGCCAAAATTTGGTGTCCCATTTTTTCATCTCAAGGATAAGGGGGGGGGTGATAAATTATAAATCCCCGTGTTGCAAAATTTTTTTATCAAGATCGCCACTTATCTCTAAAACTTTGCTATCTCCC